ACTTGAGGTGCTCAAGCTTTCAAAGGTCAAGAACTCTACCCTACTCAAGAGGTAAGCATCCAAACCATGTTTTATATTATATAGCTTCAATTGTATGCTAGTTAGGGAGAATGCTTTGGAAAAAGAAAATGCATGTATAATTAGAGAAAACATAGATCCAAAGCATTTAGGGTTGCATGTGCACCATAGGAGTGTTATAGTGCTCAAAACCCAACAGGTGGTTACCTCACCATTGATGGATATGACTAAGGGGCACATATGGAGGGATTGAAAAAGGAGAATTGGAAGACTGAGCGGCTTAGGGGGCAAATTCCATTGTTTTTCCGAGACAGCGGGGGATTATTGACTCAGTGTGGCAGGGTTTGGGTTCCAGCATTTAGGGTAGTGAGGCAAAAGATTTTGGAGGAGGCGTATAAGTCCAAATTTTTCTATCCATCCGGGGGCCACGAAGATGTACCGAGACTTGATATTGAGCTACTGGTGGCCCTGCATGAAGCGGGAAGTTGCTTGGTTTGTTGAGCGGTGTTTAGCATGTTGGAAGGTCAAAGCCGAGCATTAGAGGCCTCACGGCAAGGTTCAACCGTTACCCATCTCCATATGGAAATGGGAGGAGATCACCATGTATTTTATCACAAAATTACCCAGGACAACATGGGGTGTTGATTCTATTTGGATTATTGTGGATAGGCTGACCAAGAGTGCACACTTTATTCCGATTACTGAGAGTTTATTCGCCGACAAATTAGCGGATGTCTATGTTCGGGAGGTGGTAGTCAGGCACGGAGTGCCGGTATCTATGGTCTCGGGCCGCGATGTTCAATTCACCTCCAGGTTTTGGAGGAAGTTTCATGAGGAATTAGGCACCCTGCTACATTTCAGTACAGCTTACCACCCCCAGACCAATGGGCAGAGCGAGCAGACGATCCAGACGCTTGAGGATATGCTCCGGGCATGCATTCTAGATTTCCGAGGGAGTTGGGATACTTACCTCCCACTAGCAGAGTTTTCCTACAACAACAGTTCTCATGCTAATATTGACCAAACCCCATTTGAGATGTTGTATGGAAGGAGGTGTAGGAATCTGATTTATTGGGGGAGGTTGGCCATCGAGTCATGGGAAGCACCGAAGTAGTGCTTAAGACCACTGATTTGATTCAGCAGGTGCGTGACAGGCTGCGAGTCGCGCAGAGTCGTCAGAAAAGCTATGCTGACCGACGTCGTTCGGATCTTGAGTTTCAAGTGGGGGATTTCGTACTGCTGAAGGTGTCGCCTTGGAAGGGTGTCATCTGCTTTCGGAAGAGTGGAAAGTTGGGACACAAATTCATTTGTCCATTCAGGATCTTTTCCTGAGTTGGCAAGGTTGCGTATCGGTTGGATCTCCCTGATGAGCTGAGTCAGATCCATAACACCTTCCACATGTCTCAGTTGCGGAAGTGTGTATCAGATGAGGTTGCAGTTATTTCATTAGATGATATTCAGGCAGATGAGAGCCTAAACTATGTTGAGAATCCCATTGCACTTATGGATATAAAAACTAAAGCTCTTTGTAATAAATAGGTGAGGCTCGTGAAGGTGCAATGGCAGCACCGGAGGGGCTCCAAATGGACCTGGGAGCCGGAGGACGATATGAGAAAGCATTACTCGGATCTATTTGCATCCGCATACTTCGAGGACGAAGTTTAAATCAAGAAGGGGAGAGTTGTAACATTCAAAATTTAGGTATTCCATTTAGCCCCTTGAAGTATTAATTTATGACATTTAGGACCCTCCATACGTTAGGCGTACATGTGTGTACGCTTAGCGTACACCAACAGATGTATCGGGTGGCTTAGGCTCATACGCGTGGCGTACAAGATGTAACGCGGGGCGTACGTGGCCGAGGTCTAAAACCCTAATATTCAGACTTGTGCCCTATTTAAACCATCTTATAACCGTTGGACCTCATTTCTGTCAGCCTCCTTTGCCTTTCATCGTCCCTAGAAACCCTAATATCCATTGGAAGTGAGTTTGAGCTTGGAGTGTCATAATGAAGCCATTTTTAGGTGTGTTTGCAGGAAGAAGAGCTTATGGTACAATTCTTGATCGTGGTGAAGCATCTAGATCCAACATTTCCTTCACCTTAGGGAGGTTCTGGAGGTATAAAGTCCATACATTCCTCATTTATTGTTTAGATCTCCTTTTTGGACTAGTTTTGGTTTTTGGTCCCTTTTTGAAGGTGTTGTTTTGTCAAGACCATTCTTGATGCCAAGTATGTAGATCTAGTCGTTTAGTGTCCTCTTTGAGCTTAAAGGTGCAAACTTTATGGTGTTTGTGACCTCCATGCAAGCATTAAGACATTTATTAAGTTCTTTTGGGGTTTTGGGCTTCATTAAGCCATGCATGCACGTAAAGTTGGCAGGTTTACGTGATTACCCACATCAAAGAAGTCAGATCTGAGTATTGGAGCAAGTGTCTGAACCAAATAAGAGCTTAATGGCATAGTTCGCAAATAAGATGAGTACATTGGGTGTAAAAGCTCGTACGCACAGCGTACATGCCCTTAAGCGTGTACGCTAAGCGTACAAGCTGAGTACACCCCACATACTCAGCGAAGGATTTCAGTATTTTGGGCCTTAGGTGTGGGCTTCGCATGTGGACTTAGGAGCTTACGCCTGCATCGTGGGTTGTGGCTTGGTTAAGTTATGTGGGTCAATTTCCATTGTGGGCCTTTAGGTTCATGAGTTGGGCCTTTTGGGTCTTATACCCATTAGTGTAAATGGGCCAAGCTTGGTTGGGCCCATTATAAGTAATATTCTTTTGGGCCTTTGGGCCTTGTGGCCCATTATAGTTTTGGACTTTGATTCTAGGCCCATTAATGAATAAAAGACTTTTGGGCCATAATGGAGGGACTTGGACTTAGGATTTTGGGCTCTTTGACTAGGTTGTGTTATAATCCTAATTAGGGTTATTTGTATTTTTTCAGTGTGAGATTTTGGACTGGTAGTCGAGCAGCTATTGTTTTCAGCAGACTAAGGTGAGTCTTCTCATTATACCAATGGGTCGAAGGCACCAATGCCTGCCCATTACTTGATATATGGACTTAATAGTTGATATGCAATGGTTTTGTTAGTTGACATGTAATGACTTGTGTGAAGACCATGGGGGGAGCCCATGGCCCTTGAATGTTAGACCATGAGGGTAGCCCATGACATTACATGTGAAGACCATAGAGGGAGTCCATGGAAATTATATATGTATATACGTTGCATGGTATTATGAGGTTGTATGTTTTGTGTATTTTGGGAATTCACTAAGCGTTTGCTTATAGTTTGTTGGGTGTTTCAGGTACTTCTGGTTCTAACGGGAAGGGCCTAGCTTGATGTCGCAACACTCACTCTCCAGTATATTTGCATTTATTGTTTTGGATACTCTGATCTTTTGGATATGATTTGATGTAATGGAATTTTGGAAGACAAACATGATTGTAATTTCTATATGTTAAATGAAACTTTTTATCAGAATTGTAGGGCTGCTACAACATAAATTGATTTAATATGAAAAAACTCACTTGTTAAAAATGCAGATAGTGGTATTTGACGGGTCCCCGAAATTTTCCTTCATTTTCCTTTCAAAACTTTTGTCAAATGTCAACAATGCAAATGGTGGTATTTGGATCCTCCTTAAGCGTCTTGAAAGCATTAATGATAGATGAATTTGTACCTGCTCAAGTATTTTTGAGTCATAGGGATGACAAATAGGCAAATGGTAGCAACTCCAACAACCAACAATAGGTATTGTTGTAGGGGATGGGTAAGAAAGAAAAGGGTTAAGTGGTCCGGTGGTGGAATTATAGTTTTCATACTATTAAAACAAACATTGCATATCGTTGGAAGGATTTGGTCCTCCATGATCAAAAGCAACTTTTACAGCACACTTTTGTATCTTGTAATGGTATACAATCCACTTATTGCCCTTTTAACAAGGTTGTAAAACTCGCTACTCGGTACCTCTTCGGCCGACTACTGAGTAGCGAGTACTCGGGGAGTACTCAGATTCGATAAATCATGTAGAAATTTTTTTAGGGAAATTATATATGTGAAAATCATAAGTTAAAATATGAAGTTGATTGAAATATATAACAAAATTAGATACATGTGAATACACGAAAACAGAAAAACACACAAAATTTGATACATGTGAATACACAAAACTGAAAAACACACAATGGTCTCACTTCATGAATAATTAATGAAAATTTAAGATATATATGTAGTAATAATCATATATGTGTGTGTTAAGTAATAAATCATTAAGTATATTATACATATTAATCACCAAGTTGGCTGACTTTTACAATACTCCTCGCTTCAATAAGGGGTCGATCGGGTAGTACTCGGATTCTGTAACTTGCCTCGGCGAGGGGCCAAGTAAGGAGTACTCGACCGACTAATCGGCCAAATCAACGAGTTTTACATCACTTCCTTTTATGGTAAGTTTTTTTTTAGAAAAATCCCCATTATAGACCACAAACATTTCTTTATTATGTAAGTGTCGATCTCTTTTATCTTTACTTTGTTGCGCCCAACTACCTTTTTACTAAATTAAGTAAAATAGATTGTATGCTAAGCTAATCCAAAAAGATAAATTAGACTCGCGCCGCCTCTCACGCCTTATAGGTGTGCAAGTCCGACTCCATATTAACTTGAAATTCGACAGCAACAACATAAGAATGTATTAAATATTAATCTCCCATTTTATACAGACACACGTACATAAGCATACATCATATTTTACATACACATAACTTCATCAGATTCTATATCTAAAGATGGAGGATTCTTACAGATCTAAAGATAAAGGAGGTGTCGAGAGTGAGCAGATGGTGTGAGTTTCTTTTGGCTTTAAGAAATATATATCAAATATATCTATTATTATGTCACAAATGATGATTAACATACGAAGAAAAAGAGAGGGTTAAATAAGAAAACAAAATCAAGAAGAAGATAACAGTTTTACCTTGGTCATAGATGTTCATGTAGGCAAGGAGAAAAAGAAACGTTGTTGTTGTAAAGACATGGTGGTGGTGGTGGAAGTGACCTTGGTGGTGATATCATGTGCACCTTCTTATCATCTTTAGCCTTCTTCAAGCTACCAATTTTTGCATTAGGGAAGAAAATCATCTATTAAACATGCACTTAAAGAGTTAAATAGACACAAATAATCACATACAGATACAAAAAAAACACATAGTCAAAAACATTTTGGGGGTACTTTGGGTAGTTTCAAGGCAAAAGGAGAAAACAAAAATAAATAATGAAGTAAAAATGATATTGGCTAAAAATATTTGAGCATAAGTGTAGAAAATGAAATCGATTTTGCAGAATTCAAATTTTGTAATTGATCTGAAAGGAAGAAATCAAAAAATCATTTTTTTTTGTAGAAAAAGAAATCAAAATCAAACCTAAAGCGAACGTATTTTGTCTTAGGAAGAACAAAATTAGATAATGGAAAGCATTAGGGAAGGGCGACGATGGATGTGCAAGGCAGGTGGAGGACGGCGACATGGCTAGAGTACGAAGGTGGTGATGACATCTGCTGAAGAAATGGAGTCGGGGTCAATTTGTCAGTGTCTGAAGGTTTCCGGCAGCCGGCAGGTGGAGCAATGGTGAAGCTCATCGGCAGGGGTGGTGCTGCTACGAGGAGTGGTTGTTTATGGTGTGTGCGGATGAGAATGAGTGTGGTGTGTGAGGGTAGGGTGGAGTGATCCTATATTAGGGTGAGATAGTGAATTCAAATTTCTAAGATTCTAATTCCAGATTTTATGGAATTGACCTGGTTTTGTGAAATTCTTATCCACAGAAATGAGATAAGTTGTTTATGTATTAAATGTTTGTGCATTTAGCATAGATATTTGGATGACTTAAGATTTAATATTATTATAATGATGTTTTATGGTACTTTCAGCTTAAACAATTGGACGTCTTAAAAAATAATATTATTATATTCATTCTATTTTAGAAACAATAAGATTTCCTTTATAATACATATATATACACACACACACACACATATATATATATATATATATATATATATATATATATATATCTATATATATATATATATATATATATATATATAATAGGCTTATTAACAATCCCAGTTTGAAGCTGCCAACATAGGTGGTTTGGTTTAGCTACAGTTTGCCTAGTTTTGAGCTTGTGTTTTTTAATGTGTCGCCCTTATTCTCTAATAGGTCTCCTCCACATGCTTTGCTTCCACCTCTTTTTTTCCATTCTATTTGTGTTCTACATCCACTAAAGGAGAACACATATTCGAGATGGAAGGCAGGTAAAGCCAAACGATTTTATCATCTTCTAATGTAGGGTTTTTGTACACCCCCGGCCAGCAGCGAAAGCTTTTGAATAAGGTGTCTAAGCGAGTAACTAAATTGATATTTTCTTGTAATTAGAACAAAATCCTTTTTGGGTTTCTCTCATAACTAGAACTTGATTAGAATGTCATTTATAGAGTGATTTACAAGATTATTATATGATTAATAAACTAATTGGAAATTGTGAGGAAATGATTTGTTAATATATTATATGAATTGGAGATAGAAAAATTGATTTGTTCATTTATTATGATTAATATATTAATATGAAATCAACTAAAATTAATTAATTATTAATCAAAAATATTCTGGAATTAATTCAAGATTAATTGGAATTAATTGAAGGTCCAAGGGTTGAATTGTAATTGTTCATATTTGAGCAATGAAAGAAAATTATAGCACCCATATTGGGATGAACGAAATTAAGATGGTTTCAAAGGTTTCCATAAGCCTCCTTTTTGTAAATAAGGAAATGATTTGAATTTGGATTAAATATATTATTAATCATTCAAATCTTGCATTATCCCTAGGTTACCTAAACTATAAATAGGACCCCTTGAGACCTCAAATTCGTATACACTGTTCCTTGAAGGATTCTTTGGCCGAAAATCTCCTCCCTCCACTCTCCTCTTGTCTTCTAGTTCTAGGGTTTGAGTGTGAGCCATTATAGGCACCATCCTTTTAGTGCTAAGCTTTCCAAGACCTACACTACAAGGATATTGAAGTGATTTGTTTACTACAACAAATCAAGAGGTATGTAACTCTACACTTTGTAATTTCGAATTACACTAGGGTTATACTAGGTTAAGTTGTTCATTGTATCTTCCTATTAAGGTGTGTGATATAGATCTTTTATAGGATGCATTTACCCTATTAAGTGTTAATCGTTTTCCACATTGTACTATTTTTTGTATAAAAACCCATAAGAAACGTCGAGTTGTGTGACACCATTATGGATCATAAGTATTGTTTACATTGGACAATACACAAAAAGTATAATATAAGTATCACTTTCATTATTGAATATAAAATTACATATTGTACTAAGTTTTAGAACACCGGAAAGTAACGTACAAGCAATGCCATAACAGATAGTCACAATAATAAACAATAACAATAAAGTGGTACGTTCGCGATCCCATGACTGTTTCCTAAAAGATATTACACGTTTGTCTCTTAATTCCCCAAGAATACATGTGGTTTTAAAAACGTCAACATAAAGTTGGTGAGTTCACTGGTTTGTATATTTGTATCAACGTACTTTTTATACTAAACGTATTTGTTTTATCATATATAAGTGTTTGTAACTGATATAAATATGTGTTCGTTTATCCAAAAGTAGAATTTTACTACATATAAGTATTTATAACTTATACAAATATGTGTACTTTTATCCAAAAGTAGTGTTTTACTATATATAATTATTGTTTCATCTTATATATTTATTTGCTTTTAGGAGTGTTGGTCAATGTTACAGTGAGTTACTATAATCGAGCTGTTGACGAGTTGTTGCCCCCTCACGACGCTTCATCAAACTTCATAGTGTTTAGATATTTATTACATGTGACTTGACCGTCGAGGTTGTAGCTAGCAACTGCAGGTGGGGGTTTCAACCCATATAACTCTATACATAATTCTCGCACTCACTTAAGATTTCACGATTATAGGTAGGGGTATTTACTAAGTATTAAACTTAGGTGATGAATGTGTCTTATGTAAACCATTAAGTGAGTTGTTGTAAAAGTTATAACCCTAACATTATAAGTTCAAGTTATTAGGCCAAAGATTATATCGTATAATTATAATATCGTTTTATAATTATATCATTTAACTATCTTGTAAAAATTAAACGGGTAGAGTAACAACATGGTATAATAATTATCCATATTATATGAGTAGAGTAACGACAATGTATAATAACTATCCATATTATACGGGCAAAGTAACGACAGTCTAAAGCCAATATACGAGTTTTATAACAATGTCTCTAATAATATGATATATATATATATATATATATATATATATATATATATATATATATATATATATATAATAACTTTTATAGCATAATGATAGTAAAAATCGATATTTATTATATATAACAATTAGTAATATTTTGCATGTATTCTTCCCGAATAACAATAACAAATTTAAAATTGGATTGTGAAACTCACCCTCGAAGCGCGCTTAATTCAATGGTAGTTCATGTCGGAAAAGTGGTCGCGAAGACCGGACCTCGGGGGGGGGGGGGGGGAGTTTTCATAGAAACGGAGATTTGAGAGAAGTTTTGTGGTGCCTAATGAAAATTTTTGTCAAGTATTTATAGGCTGCCAGGAGCAATGGGCGCGCCACGCCTCAGCCTTGGGCACGCTGCGTCCTTTCATAGGGTCCAAGGCTTCACCTCTGGTCATGAGATGTGGCAATATTTGGTTGGGTGGCGTCGCAACTAGCAAGTATTTTTCACAATCTTCGAAAAAACATATATTTCGCATACGAGCTCCTTTTTTGACGTTCTTCATATCCCCGATTTCGTATATGCGAGTACTACAACTTTTATTTAGATTTCATCGGCTAATTAACATTTTATTTTTATTTTTTACAGTTTACGAGGATTATACTGTAAAAGGATTTGCATTGATAACTTCTTCAAACGAACTCTGTTCTTGACGTTCTTTATATCGAGAGATTTGTATTTACGAGGAAATCGACTTTTGTTTAGAGTGTTTTGTCTAACGAGCAACCGATCTCCATTTCACTTTTTATGACACACATTGTTGTATCGGGTTGAATGCAAAACTTAGAAAAAAAATATAACTCCTTCATATGAGCTCCATTCTCGACATTCTTTATATCGATAAATTCTTATTTTTGAGTACGTCAATTCTTGTTTAGATTGTTTTGGCTAAAAAGAAACTGATCTCCATTTCATGTTTTATGAAACACATTGTTGTATCAGGTTGAACGTCACACTTCGAAAAATCATAATTTCTTCATATGAAGTCTGATTTCGGCGTTCTTTATATTTTTAGAATCGTGTTGACGCGTACTTTTGGATTATGTAAATATTTATACAAAATAATACAAAATTTGTTTGCTTATATTGTTCGCAATTGGTTTATTCCACTCATGTTACTTAAAGATACTAAAGTATAATTTTGTATTTTCATTAAAAACTGTCAAATATTACAAATCAAGCCTATTAAATTTGATGTGCGTGACGTTCATGAGTGACGATCATTGACTTGATTTAACTGTTGTCACATTCCCCCCCCCCCCAATCATTGAAAGAATTTTGTCCTGAAATTTAGCTTATGGACGAGACTTTGTTGAATAGTTGGGGGTACTTTCTCTTCATTTGATCCTGCATTACCAATTAAATTGCGGTCCTCATTTAAATTAACATCAGACTTTATTTATGGGGACGCGACTTTGTTTGAACTTCTTGATTTCTCGGTCCATGATCTCAACATGTTCCTCTACGAAGTTGAGCTTGGCGTTGACTTGGATTTCGTCGAGAGGAAAGGAAAGTGTGTCGTCAAACAAACATTTATTAAAGTTCGATATATTGAAAACATCACGTACTTTGTTGGGTTCTTGATGTAACTTAAGTTTGTAAGCTACCAGACCAATCCTTTCAAGAAATTCGAAAGATCCTATGTAACATGGGTTCAGTTTGCCTTGTTTTTTAAACCATATCATTCCCTTCCATGGGGAGACTTTTAGAATTACTCAATCTCCCACTTGAAACTCCAAAGGCTTACGTCTATTGTCAGTGTAACTTTTGTGTCACGTGTTGCCTTGATTCTGTCGCGTATTTGGAAGATCTTCTCAGTTGTTGCGTGATATCAGGGCCAATAAGTAGTGTATGTAAGGACGTGAATTTGTTTCCATCAACGATATTAGCTTCCGTTAGATAAATATTTATTTTCATAGTATTATTTAGTTTTAAGGTTATATAACAAAACAAATTAAATAAAAATGATGTTATTTAATATAAAAAAATAAAAAGAATTATACAATAATTAAAAGAAAATAATTTAATTAAATGACTTTGTGGGAAAAATAAGACAAGTATAATTTATTAAGAAGTGTATAAATGGACTTGACGGGTTAATGGGTTATTAAAATAAACTTAATTTGTCATGCCAACTAGGGTTCAGGTAGAATTAGAACAAGGCTGGAAGCCTAGGGAGTTTAGTGCAAAAATTATCCATAACTTCCCTAACAATTGGATCGATGTGTTTAAGAGGACTTATGGCTTCGTCGGTTTTTTACACAA